TTAAAACCGGAGATGATTGCATCTTAATTGGCCCTGGAACTAAGAACTTGTGGATTGAACGTGTCACTTGCGGCCCCGGTCATGGTATTAGGTATTTTCATTCAAACATTTATCATCTAAAACTACTTAACTAATTAACAACAAACAACTAATCTTCCATAAGATATTCATATCAAGAATGTTTTTCTTTGATTTGTAACATTGGGAGCTTGGGCAAGGATACGAACGAGGAAGGAGTCCAAAATGTGACAGTTAAAAACACAACTTTTATAGGTACTCAAAATGGATTGAGGATAAAGTCATGGGCAAGGCCTAGCAATGGATTTGTCCAAGGAATTCGATTCTTAGATGCTGTTATGCGAAATGTTCAAAATCCCATTATTATTGACCAAAATTACTGCCCTCACAACTTAAATTGTCCAGGCCAGGTAAAGATTTGCTTATTATTTCTTCATAAATGAAAATTATGAGATCCACAGTGTTTTAAATATATATTTAAAAACATATAGCACAACTAATGTTATTCTCATTTTTGTTTGTTGCACTTTCAGGTTTCAGGTGTACAAATTAATGATGTGACATATCAAAATATTAGGGGAACATCTGCTACACAAGTTGCTATAAAGTTGGACTGTAGCACAAAATACCCTTGCAAAGGAATAAGATTACAAAATGTAAATTTGAAGTATTTAAATGAAGTAGCTCAATCATCTTGCAGTAACGTAATTGGGAAGAAACTTGGCTTGGTTCAACCCAACAATTGTTTGTAATTGAATGGTAGACAAAATTCTTTTGTACATGATAGAATGTAATTGTATGCTATTCTTTTTAATGAATTCTTTCATTAATAAACTATTTCCTTTATCTTATATTTTTCAATTGAAGTAAATTTAGATGGTCAAGACTTATATTTCCTTTTTCGGTCACCAATGAATATATATTAATTGTTCTGGCTTTCCAAAATGTTAACCTCTTTATCACATTCTATATCGCACCAGAGGTATCTTTTCCAACTTGTAATTAATTGAACATTTGAACGTAGTAATTTGCAAATCACTTTTGGTGTCATATTTGATGTGACTGCCGAAATGAATTAGGATTATCTCTTGAGATTTTAAGGATCTAATGTATATTTTAAATATATTTATGGTTAACTAAGATTTTTTTTCATTATTATATCCCGAATATGTAACTACCAATAACAATTTATATTTATTCGGATAAAAGCTCGTACCAAAAGAGAACGGTGATTCTGTATAAATTTGGTGTCAATATATATTTGATGTGGGATCATAATCTACCAGTTTAGTTTCTTTCTATTAGCATAAAATATTGGTGTGTATAAGCTTTTAAAATTATGTGAAACTATGAAATCAGGAAGAGCAGGCCAGTTTTTTTAACTAACTGAAATCGTTCCAGAAACAGAGAATCAAGTTGAGATAAATAAAGAGTTTAAAATGTTGCATTCATATATAGTAAAAAGGGTCAGAATTAGGAAAGCTGTCTTCGGCAATTGGAAAACTATATATTACTAAACAAAAAGATAATGCTGATTGTGTCGATGCAAACTAAGATTTTCTTGTGTCGTAACCATGGAATCAGTAAAGCCGTCACAAATGGGTTCGTTTGAATAATTGAATTTAGTTGTTGAGGCATTTGATTTAAGTTCTCTTTAAAATATTATGTCACTAACAAGCTACTGGTTAACGTGCAATATAATTTGATATACGCACTACGTACAATACATGGCTGGAGATGCACAAACAAGAAATAGACTAGCTGCATGCTCTCTTTATTCATGGCAAGTGGGATGTGGAGAACCATAATCTTTCTCCAATTTTCTATGAAGTTATCGATTTATTTATAACATTATCCTTTTGTACAATCTTGATGAAGTCGTTTTCGCTAAATTTCAAAGATTTATTCAATGGCAACCATGATTCTCCTACCATAACAACAAAACGAAACCGTGTTGGATTGATGCTTAAGCCAACTTGTCAAGGGTTAGAGAACTCGATACACACAGAGATGAGATGAGAAAGTCCCTCAACTGATTGATCCCCACGCAGCGTCCATAATTAAGCTTATCATGACAATGATGAATTTCTTTCCAATTCACTTATTAATAAGCAATTGACTGAATTTTTTTTTTAAATATTAAATATATATTAGGTCCGAATTTAAAAGTATAAAAATGATCGCAAGAGAGAATAACTATAATAAATAAGAAAATACAAAGTTGACAAAAGTTAATTCTCCTTAAATTGGTGGATATATATCTTTTATCAATGAACTAGGATTTTGAGGCTTGTTATACAAAATCCGTAGTTGGATTTAAGAAGAGAAAAAAAAACCATCTCTTGATTTAGTAACATGACGTAATTGTGTTGTAAAGTATTTTCTAACGTGTTAAGGTTGAGATGTTTTCAAAGCATATGAAACAGCATTATTTAATTTCATTTGGCTTACCCAATAGAGCATATACATCCAGCATTATGATTATTAATTTCTTGGATTATGAAGGGTTTATAAATATATGGTAAACTGATAATCGATGTGCAAACAGTACTTTAGGACAACACCAAAACAAGAATACCAAAATATGAACACGACTAAATTATAGCCTAGAACTATGGTGCGTTTGTTTTAGTATTTTTAAAAAAGTAAAAGTTAGGTGGTTATTACGAGGTAGGATTTAAAAATTAACAAAAACACTCCCTTACGTTTATTAATTTATTAAACACCCCTGTAATAAAACATTAAAAATTAACAAAAATACTCCCACCCACCCACCTATTAAATACCGACAGCTGGCTACCACCGCCGAAGGGTGGCCAGAGTCGCTGTATCGATGCATGACCGGCTAGATCTGGCCGATCATACGCCAGTATGGCCTTTTTCAACCAGATTCACCGTGGATTTGATCGAAAAAGGCCAGATCTATGGCTAGATCTAGCCACGTTTGGTCATCAACAATGGCCAAAGATATAGCCGTCATTGACGACTAACTGCGGCCAAAGATCTGGCCGACAACAGCTAGATCTTTGCCATAGATCTGGCCTTTTTCGACCAGATCCACGGTGAATCTGGTCGAAAAAGGCTAGATTGGCGCACTACCGACTAGATCCGGTCGGTAGTGCGCTATACCAGATTCTGGCCACCTTCCAACGGTGGTGGTCAGAATCTGGCAAATGTGGGTGGGTGGGGGTGTTTTTGTCAATTTCTAAACCTTTTTTTTTTTTTTTTTGTTTAGTTAAATTAACAAACTTAGGAATTCTAAAAATAATTGAATAAAATAATAGTATTTTCATAATAGGGAAGCAAATGTGTATTTTGGAAATGATAGAAATAGGATAGGGAAACAAACGCACCCCGAATTTTTAGATTTATGAGATGGTATTAAACTTTTCTAAAAGGCTCATTTGACATGCCTGATAGAAATGGATCAAACAGTACTCTAATATGTACAATTTGTTGATATAATTAAGAGCCGAAATAGAATTGTCAAATTTTCAAACCTTAATGAGATATTTTCCCAATAAAGACTATCCTAGTTGAAAATGAAAGACCCCTTCATATTCCTAAACATGAAAATGATCACAATCCCACGTAAGAAGACCATAAAACAAACCAAGAGTTCAAGACCATAAAACTAAACAAGCCAGTTCTTCTTTATGATACATCACCCATTTTTCGCGATAGCTAGGAGCTTGCCATTTACAATTTATCCTTCTTTTCATAACATAATTAATTGGAAAGGTGTGTTGGAAACTTGGAATTTCTTGGCTTGCTGTCCTGGCTATGCTGCCTTAGGTTTTTCTTAATTTAAAGGATCCACATTTGAATTCAGAAGGCCTCAAGCCAATTAAACATTGACCCAATTTATAAAGTAGTAAATCACTTCTAAAAGAAAACTGAACTGACATAATGAAATACCTCCAAAGGAATATTATTATATATAAATCATCACTAGATGATCAAGTGGTCAATTAAGATTCTTGAATGTATTATTTAAAAGGTTTTAAATTCGATTCATCTCAACTGTTAATAGAAGTTATCACTGAAACTCTTATTCAATCGATAATTTTAGGATCCTAAAAAATTAGTTAAATACACACAACTGACTTAAACACCACTGATAAATATATATATATATATATTATATATATATTATATATATATATATATATATATATATATAAAGAGGGAGGCAAAGTTAGAAGCTTTCATTACTATCAAGAAATTAACTTTCGTCAAGAGTTGGAGAATTTAATGTGAGAAAGGCTCTACACGCGTCAATGCCCTTTTGGCTAATTATTTATTAACGGCGAAAAGCATGAAGTGTTTTCTAATTTACAAAATTCTAAGCAACTAATTGGTGGCCTGCGCTGCCTAAATCGTCTTCATTAAATTTTGACACTGCTTTACAATTGCAAATATTATAATCTAGAAGTCAATATATAATTGTGTCAACCCTTCGCGTGGTTGTTAAAAAAAAAAATCTTTTATATATTATTACTTAATTAACTTTTTTATATAATTAAATTCATCAATTAATTAAAGGATCAATGATCTGTCTCATTCTGATCGTCATGTCAAACAATAAGCTTCTAAAATTAATAATAGTCTATGAAAATCTTACCGATCAGTTACTACAAACTTTTTAGTAAAAAGCCATGCTGATGCGCGCGATCATAATAAATTATAATCTCCCTTCTCTGTAATTACAATTAACATACGTTACGTAAAAAGAACCGAGCCGGATTTAATTACGTTTGCATTAATTAATCATCTAACAGAGGTAGTAAATATTTGTTCCGGCGCTGCTTTCTTTGGGTTTCATTTTGCAGCTGATCAATATTCCGTCCTATCTTCGTGCTTTTCCATAAATAACTGCATCTTGCTTTTCAACTTCCACCCATCAACTCTTCCTTAATAACGTCTTTAAATTCTTAAATTCTAGCTTCCAAGTCTGCTTTAATTAGTCGATATATCTTTCACTTTCTCTTCTATTCAACAAAAATGGTGACGTTTTTCAGTCTTCTTTATACGTTTCTGTTTGTTTTCTTTGTATACTTGCATTCATCTTCTGCAACCACGAACTATAATGTGTTGAGTTTTGGAGCCAAAGGCGATGGAGTAACAGACTCCACTCAAGCATTCATCAACGCATGGGCTGCAGCCTGTCGCTCTACAGAATCAACTACCATTTATGTACCAAAAGGAATGTATTTGCTTGGCTCCGTGGCCTTTAAAGGAGACTGCAAAAGCTCTGATATTACAATACTCATTGATGGAACACTAGTGTCTCCGTTAGACTACGGTGTACTTGGTGAAGCTGATAATTGGCTAAGCTTTGAAGGGGTTAACGGTGTTTCCATCGTCGGTGGGACACTCGATGCAAATGGATCGGCTTTATGGTCTTGCAAGGCTGCAGGCTCTAATTGTCCCAATGGAGCCACGGTATTGTATAACTTTGTTTAATTGCTTGAACATTTTTCTTTTTTTCACTGTCGACTTTTATACTGGATATTATGGATGGTGCCTAAATCTGAGGAAATTTTATTTTCCGTGTGCAGACATTGAGCTTTACTAACTCAAACAATATCAGAATCAATGGAGTTTCATCATTAAACAGTCAGATGTTTCACATTGTGATTAATGGTTGTCAGGACGTGTGTATTAAAAAGGTTAATGTCACAGCTGCTAGTGACAGCCCCAACACAGATGGTATCCATGTCCAATTTTCTCAAAATGTAATGATCATGAACTCGTCTATAAAAACTGGGGATGACTGCATCTCCATTGGCCCTGGAACGAAGAACTTGTGGATTGAAAGTATCACCTGCGGTCCTGGTCACGGCATTAGGTGATGTTATCAATTTTTATTCTGGGAAAACTGTATGTTGATGGTATTATATGTCAGAGTGCCTCTTTTTTCCAGAAAATAATTTTCCCGGAGGATTTATTTTCACTCAAAAATCTCGAACATTATAAAATAAACAAATCAAGTTCTTTTTAAATATTCAAAATATTTTTAAGAAAATCAAAATAAAAAAATGTCTTATAATTTTAGTTTGACCAAGAAATTAACCTCAATTCATGGATGGTGTTTTTGGTTTTGCAGCATTGGGAGTCTAGGCAAAGAAATGGATGAACAAGGAGTACAAAATGTGACCGTTCAGAAAACCATTTTTACAGGTACACAGAATGGGCTTAGGATAAAGTCTTGGGCGAGGCCAAGTAATGGATTTGTTCAAGGCGTTCGATTTATTAATGCTACCATGCAAAATGTTCAATATCCTATAGTCATTGACCAAAACTATTGCCCTCACAACTTAAATTGTCCTGGTCAGGTAAGAAAATCCCATAAGAACTTTATAATATATAAATTACACACAAGGAGCAAGGAAATATATAAAGAACTAATTTCACTATTTGATTTTGCAGGTATCTGGAGTGAAAATTAGTGATGTAATGTACCAAGATATTCGGGGAACTTCCGCTACAGCTGTGGCTATAAAATTTGATTGCAGTACTAAATATCCATGCACAGGCATTCGATTGCAAAATGTAAATTTGACATATCTGAATCAAGTGGCTGAATCATCTTGTAATAATGTGATAGGAAAGACATTTGGCTTGGTTAAACCAAATAGTTGTCTGTAATGAACAAATAAAAACATAGTTTGCACATAAAATTTATCGAAGGTATATTCTTTTTCAATGAATTTTTTACAGGCCAAAAGAGTATTTCTTGATCAAATCTAGAGAATATCCAAAAATGATGGTTCAACCATTGTGCAAAACAAAGCCAGGAGAAAGATAAACGGTATGGTATGCAATGCGTGAAAACATAAACGGGAAATGCCTTTTGGTGCAGAAATAGATAAAATGTAATGAGCAAACAAATCCAAGCAGTAACCACAGACAAAATAGACTGGAATGTGAACACAATCATACTTCCAGTTAACCAGATATTGCAGGCCATAAAAAATAATTACTCCTGTATTCCACAATCATACTCCAAACGAATCAATAAGCATGCTATTCCTGTATTCCATCCAGTGGCGGAAACTCAAGCAAAATTAATGAATAATAAGAAACCCGTGGGAAGGAACATCAAATGGAAAAATATCCCAATTATATATCTATTTACCACACTTAAGAAAGTTTGTGAGGAAGAAAGTTTGTGAGGGCACTAACACGAGTACATGGGAACATGTACAATATCCTCAATACCATGGTTCATACTTCAGTTTCAAGTCTAAATGAACACATAAACTGACACACCATATGGTGTGTTTTCAAGCCTAATCCAGGCAGGTTGTAGACCACTGTACATCTAACCGTCAGCTGACCTCAGCACCCGCAAAATGGAAATGAACAGGTTCAGTATATCCAAATAAAGAGCGACAGAGGCCAAAATATATTCATCATATGTGAAGCGCTTGATCAAATTATCAGTGTCATAGACTATGTATCCGCAGAAGACCAGAGCACTAATTCCACCATATACAGCAACAGTCGTTGATCCAAGAGGAAAGAACATCTGGAACATAACCCAAGGATTTTCAAATCCCGTTAGAAAAATTCCATATACGTAAGCAAAATCATGCACATATTTATTGAGGATGATGAGGCAATTTAACAGAACCAAGATCTCATACCTGCATAAAGCTAGTCAGGATGAGGATAATGAGGCTGGTGAATAAAATTGGTCCAAGGAAGCTGAAGTCCTTGCCCTTCTTAGAGGCCCAGAAAGTGTACCCAGTTAAAGAGCACACTACGGCTGACGTTAAAATTAGTGCTTCCAGCACAATCCTACCTGAAAATTGAATGCATAACAAGAATCGAGTCATAGTTGTAGAAGAAAGAAGAAAAAGGAGAACACCACTAGGCAGAGTAAATTGAAGCGGATAGAAAAGATACTATACGAACCCTCGGTATTAGCGCAGGTCACGGCAACAGGCAGACTTATTGACACAGTAAAGAGACCAAGAACAATCAGGTTCACAGGGTGCTTCTGGTGATATACATGCAACGGCCACAACACTGCATGTATTTTAGATCTAATATAAAGTTAATATTAAGAACACAAATGTCAGCAAAGAACACAAATTCTACAGGCACCGAATCTTGAACAAATGATGTATACACTCATCAAACGTATTCACTACCATTTAAAATATGTATTTGTTAATATAAATTATGTTTATACTAGAGAACTATGTCTTCTTTATACCAGAAAGAAAATATATTGAACGTAAAAGGATAAATCAAGACTTAAATAATGAGAAAACATTATCCCAACCATGTACAAGTTTTCAATTTTACCCAGATGAGATGAGATTCCATTAGGGTACCATAAATTCAAAGGCTTATCACTAATACTCTGAATCCTCCTGTTAGTAATCACGGGTCAAACCAAAATTTCCCAAACAATAAAAAAAGCAAATGATAATCAAATTTAAACCCACAAAAAATTCCTCCATATCTGTTTATGAATCATAATTAGAAAATGAATCTGAATTTAAAAAAAAATAAGAGAGAGAGAGAGAACGTACGGATGAAGGGGAGGAGGGAGAGAAAAGAAGAAGGCCGGAATTGCCCTTGAGGAGATCGTTGATGGGAGGTAGAGACGGTGACGGAGGAGACCAAAGTGGTCACCACGATCTGGCGGTCAATTCCGTAGACCTTACGATGATCCCCAACGGAGCTGGTTCTCCCAAGGCTAACCTGGGTACAGTCTCTCACCGCGTCCCCTCCTCTAGGTCTAGATTGAATTTCTCATCGTCTTTCTCCTCACGCTCTCGTAACCCACATCTCTCTCTCGCTCAAGGGATTTTTTCTTTTTCTTTTTTTAGAAATGTTAGTCTCTTTTTTTCGATATTTTCTCACCGAATTTGGTTTTATAATTATAGCGGGTGTGGTAGTTGACGGTGATTAGACTCTAATTACAGGTGTGTTAGTATGACTGGTGGGTTAGGATAGTGTGTAAATGACACTCACATCATCGTTGGGTTTTTCCAACGCTAGTATATTTGGGACCCACACGTGTTCTGAATAATTAATTTGATAGTAACGTTTAACCTTTACAGAGTTAATTACCTTTTCCCCCCGGGCTTAGAACTTACATACATATCCCGCTGTTTCAAATACTAGGCACTCAGCTTAAAACTAAGTATGTGAAATCCTTAGTTAAAACTAAAATAATGAACTCCCAAAAAGAAAAGTTAAAAAATCAAGTGAAATAATTAAGATTTTGTTATTTTAGTTTCAATTAATAGTTTTGATTAACTTCCGTTATAATAGAGGAGTTTTCTAGTATTTAAAACAGTAGGATTTAGACGGAAATGGCCAGGGTGGTTTAAGATATTGCTAGTTTTTTCTCTACCGAAATTTCCATGATTTCCAACGTACAAATAAATCGACTTTCATTTCCAGACGCAGATATACAGTCAAAGATCAAAGGGTTTAAAAAGTCTTCATAGACTTTGCGTTTGTCATGCCAGGTTATACACAGATGACTCCAAAAGACAATTTGATTATAGAATAAACTATATTACCCGAAGGCCAACCATCAATAAAAACGCCCGACTTGCAAGGATCAAATCAGCTTATTGAATGAGCACGTTTTTCAAGTTAAAATCACTAAGCTAAAAGGGATATTACAAATAATTCTACATTGAAATTCAATCTACTGATCATTTCTTCAGTAGATGAAAAAGTACAAGGTAAAACAATGCTCCAAAAGTAATGTCAGCTGTAGAATAATCTAGAGAATTTTCAATAAATCATCTTGACTTAGATCACAATCAAGGTATACAATTTTAACCCAAAACAACAAAACAACAAATTGAAAAAAGCCCGTTCCCCCCACCCCACCTAAACTAACATCACCCTTGTTTTTTGTTTTTTTTTTGGTTTTTTTTTTTTCTCTTTTTCTTTTTCATCATCGGGGAGTGTTCGGATTAACTTACGTATATTTCAACTAATCTCCAAGACCTTAAAACTATCGATCAAGTAAGACTTCTAGTGATCACCGTTATTTTGGTCAAGTAAGAGCCCTAATGATCACTCGTATAAGTGTTTAGAAGACTTGAAATAAGAGCTCATAAAACTTCATTTTGCTCCTTTACCATCAAACCATCAAATGGTAGTTAAGCTTAGTATCTTTCTAGGATCTTCCCCAGCAATATTTCGACAACATTTGTATTCTCTACGCAAAGTTTAGTGACTAAAGAATGGCATAAACTTCACTGAGTGTATAACCTATCCTAAACATAAATTCTGAATTAAGTAAAGAATCATCCAACCTATCATTTTGTGACAGACACTTCTCTCAGAAATCTCCTTCTGAGGTTTGAGTTTATTCATCAGCATCTCTATGATCCATTGCATTCCCTCTGCAACATATCCCCACTTACACAACCCAGTAATGATATAATCATGTGTATGGACCCTTGTCTCTCCATACCCCTATTACGCATATCGTTCCACAAATTTTTTTGCTTCTTCCTCATCCTCCAACTTGACACAGCTTTTCAATTAGTGGGGTATAAGAGGAAGTTGAAGGTGGCAGACCATCCGCCAAGAGTTCTTTCTACCAGGTTAGCACTATTATCAATCTTACCTACTGTTATATCTGGAAAAATAGGGTTAACGTAGAGTTTTGTCAGTATGGGTGGTCAAAACTTAAGAAGATTCTACGACTGCTCAAATACAGCCACGTCGCGTGATAACGTGAGTGGCATGCTCTTGCCAATGTAGTAGGTGTACGCCAGGTTGACAAATGGCTAGAAATGGTCCACATGTTCAATCCCTGTACAAGTCGAGGAAATCACTCGGGCAGGTGAGCAATGGAACTTAAAGAAGGATTTGCACGACATCTACCCCACTCGCAGATTTAGTAATCATTACTTTGATTTATCCTACTATAACTAGAGGTTTTCTCTACCATTTGGGGGATTGGCTAATTTTACTCTTAAATAGCATACTCTCTCTCTTTCTATCTTGTATTCTTTAAGTTGTAACTCAGCTCGTTGAACGCGACCTGACTTTACTCATTAATACAATATCGGTGGACGTAGGATTCGCTTTTTGAGCATCCGAATCACTTTAAACATTGTTCTTCATCCTTTATTCAACTAAATACTTCCATAACCACGTGTGACTTCTAAGCCCGCTTAGCATTTCTCACGTGCAATAATTGGTGTCAAAATCAAGCATAAACACCTACATTGCAATCTCTTTTAATCAAAGTGTTATATGTAATCTCAGGAACAATATCCATCCGCATCATTTCTTCAAACAAGCAATAAGCCTCATCTACCTTTCCATGTAAGCAAAACCCCGCGATCATAGTGTTGTAAGCCACTGTGGTTTCTCCATAATTTTAAATCTTGTCAACCCAATTAACTCTTTTAATGTCTCTGAATCAAATTAATCAATGCATTGTAAGTGTTATTCGTTTGGAAGCAACCCCTTCTTAATCATCTCAAACGACAGCTTCCGTTATTATTATGGTTGCTCTGTAAGGGAATTGGCGGCGAAGCCTGACATCTGATAAGGTTCTTGAAATATCTGCCAGTCAATAATAATTCATGCTTACTTTTCTTGAAAGAAAAATACAAAATATTGAAGAGGGCNCCCATTTATTCCACATAAATTCATCCTCCATCTCTATTTGCATAGTCATAAAATCGGAAAAAAAAAAAAATGAAAAAAGAAATATCAAACCCTGTCCTATGAAACCCATAATCACGAAAATATTTTCCGGTTATGAAAGGAGAGTAACTGTTTGGCGTTTTATAAAAGAGGATAGAAGTAGGGGATTTGGAGGATAGAACAAAGCTCGATTGTGTTTTTGTGGTGTTGATTTGAATAAAATGGTGTCAATTTGTGATATGTCTTTTATATTTTGTGTTTTAGAATCATAAAGATTAGGGAGGATATTAGGTGTTTTTAAGGGTTATAGGGTGAACAAGGGGGACGAGGCTAAGAACTTTGAATATTAAATTTTGATTTAGGGAGAATATTAAATTTTATGCATAATGTTAATGGATCATTTTGCCCTTACTTGTAACGGAGTTTTGATCATTCAACTCTTCTTTATAACAAAATTTTATTTGTTTAGAGCTCTTATTCGACTTTGAATTTTGATTTTATTATGACTTATGTGTTTAATTTGACACTATAGTTGAATCTTGACTAAATATTGTGTTTGAGTCTGGAGACTATAATTTGGATATCAGTTATATATTGTGTATTTGTGTTATTGATTAATTGAATATTTTGCTTTTAACTAAGTAGTCCATAAAAGTGTTAAAACTAAGATTGATATTACCGTATTTTTCAAAACGTATTATTGACAATTTACCGTATTAAACCTGTATATACTCGTACCGTATTTTTTCCTTATCCGAATTTTATGGCCGAATTTTTATAAACGTATTTTTCACCATTTGCCGTATTATATCCATATAATTCTCGTACCATTTTTTTGCCGTACCCGTATTTACTAACTAGGCAAGGACCTGTAGTTTTCTTAAAAAATAAATCAATTCTATATCCTTCTTGTAAATTTTTAATTTATTATTTTTTAAAATAATTATCCTTCCAAATTTATTCCATGAAAAAAGTGCATCTATCAGAGTCACACAAATATCGAATTCAATACCATGTGGACTGAACTTATAAACAAATATGGCTTGAAGGAGAATCTTTGGCTCAAACAAATGTATGAAAAGCGTGATAGTGGGTTCCATTGTACTTAGTGGCACCTTCTTGCTGGCATCCAATAGGTGAAAACATTGAATCTTCTTTGGCACAACTTTAACTGGCCAGACACCACTAAGAGAGTTTATCTCACGATACAATCAAGGTCTTGAGAAACGGCGTGAGCAGGAAAAAGAAAGAAGATTTCAACACACTTAATTCAGGCGATTCTACAAACGAAGGAACCAATGGAAGAGCAATGCAGAAGGCTTATACCCTAGCTGTTTCAGGATATTTCAGAACGAACTTCTGCAAAGCTATAGTTATTTTGGAATAAAGACTATGAAGAAGGAAGCATTGTCAGATACTTGGTGCGGAAGTGTGGAAATGAGAATGAGAAGCATGTTGTAACCTTCAGTCCTCTAAATGTGAGTTGCAGTTGTCAGATGTTTGAATTTGAAGGCATGCTTTGCAGGCATATCTTAAAAGTGTTAACCTGTTGGACATAAAGGAAATTCCATCTCAATATATCTTACATCGGTGGACAAGAAACGCTGTGTATGGTATTGTCAGTGATGTAGAATCAAGGGTTAGCTTTCAAGAACTCAGGGCCTAATGTTGTGGAGTTTAAGAGAAACAGCATGTAAATACATAGAATCTGGGACAGGATCTTTAGAAAAGTACAAACTTGCCTATGAGATAATGAGAGAGGGCGGGAACAAACTTTGTTGGCAAAGGTAAACACATCGGACCTGAGTTCAGTGAAATTTTGTATTTTGCACTACCTGTTTGGCTTCTTTCTAGCTGAGTCTTAGTTATGTAACTAAAAATCATTGACTTGTTTGGGTAAATAATTTTACAGTGTGTTTGGATCAAAACTCTAGCTATTTATGATCTGGATGGGCATCTCTTGAATTATCTGGCTGGAGATATTGTTATGCTGGATTAGATCATAATATTCATTAGGTGCTAAGTTTCTCTGGTAGACAACGGAAAGGCCTCATACGCCCTCTTAAATTTTCAGTATACCACAAATCTTCAAAGGTAAAGAAGAGCAAATTAACTTAAAACTGTTTTTTCTATGAAATCACATCACCAATTGAGTTTCCAAGATCACCCTCTTTTCATAAGTCATAACCGCTTTGTCTTACGGTCGGCAAACTTCATCCACCACACTAACCGGAAGGCCGAATTGTCATATTCAAAGGATAAAGGAGTTTAGCGGATAAAAAAATAGAAAGTTTAGAAAGCTACATTATGATGGGGATTAAAGTGTCAGGTCCAGTGGAGGGGGTGGCGAAAAGTAAAAAGTGAATATTTGGGGTAGAAATGATATGTTTCTATGTAATTTTTTTTATATATATAAAATTCAGATTATTGCATTATAATATTTTTTAAAACTGAGAACTTATAGTCATGGTAATGTAGATTAAAAAAAAAAAAATTAGACTGTTATTCTTAAACAAGTTTTTTACACAATCAACAACATGATTTAAATTCGAAGATCACCACAACACATATATAATACTAACTAATATATCAATAACCTCTTTTTTTTTAAAATCAAATTTTGATTGTAAAAATGAAGAAAAAACATTTATTTAAAATATGTTTAAAAGATATATTTAATAAAATAATTAAACCGAGTAGTATTGCCAACTCTACTCTCTTTAACAAATTAAGAAAAAACCTGTTAGGAAAATCAGATTTTGGGCATTAAAGATCCCACGATTAAAACTATTTACAATTTTAAAATTTTAAATAATGCAGGGTATTTGGATGATATTATAATGAGATGTACAAAAAAAATGTTGAATGACCTTTTGAGATTTTACATTTTATTGTTTCCGAAATCGAAGGATTTTGAAAATTATTATTTAGTAGATGGTGTTTGAAAAATATGTTCCTTAATTATAACTTCCTCTCTATGAGATTGCTTATTATTTCCAACCATAAACACCAAATTGGGCAAGTTTCACACCAATTGATGTGATTTTTTGTGCATATCACTATTACATTTTTAATCATTACACAAATTTACACCAAAAGAATATTCATTAGAATATTCTCTTTCTTTTCTTTCTATTAATAATCAAAATAATTCTTTTACTAATATTTTTGTATATATTAATTAAATATTGGAAATGATATTTTTATAAATAATAATTACTTTGAAATTATACTAATTTAATAAAATTAAGCATTTATTAATCAAATAAACATTATTAATATAGAAAAACATTACACCTATATAAAAAGAAAAAAAAAAAAAAAAAAAACATTACAACAAAAGTCAAGATATTAAAATAACTCTAGTTCTTTATAATATTGATTTTAGAGGATCCAGAATTAATCTACGAAATACTAAAATTATATATTATGATTATATATTAATATTAGTTTATATTATTTTTATTTTTTTTAATTTAGTATTTTTAAATTAGTGTTAATTTTATTTTGAACTATTGTGTTTAAATGCATTGAATAAAGTTTTTTTTATTTTTTACTTTTGTATTATATAATTATTATGAATTTATTATTATAAATATTAATATAATAATAATCACATTACATAAATACAAATAACAAAAATAAAATATATTTTATATTGAATGTACACACCAAATTGGTATTGTCATGCCAAATTTGGCGTGACGTGTTATACACAATTTGGTATAATGTTTGACGTTAGTTAGAACATTTTCACACCATTTTAGTGTTTTAGCGTTGGTTAGAGATGTCTTATTGGTATAAAAATTTGGTGATTCTATCTTTTGTCCTTCATGTTTTTCCTATAATTTGAAGAAAATAATATTCATAGGATTTCGGTTTTGTACTACTGAAAAAGCAAAACAACAGCGAGGGTGATTAATTAAAGACATTAAGATGTCGATTTCACAAAAAACTAAAAAAATAATAAGTAATTAAAGACAGATTTTCAGGTAAAATTGTCATAAATAGAAGTTGACTCGGCTTTCCAAATCTCCTCCTTAAGCTAAAGAACCGGAAATTATATCCTTCTGTCCTGGATACATCAATTTTCTCCCATTTTTTCAATTAATTAAAAAATCATATTTAGTTTTTGACATTCCTATCGAGTAGAATTTACTACATATTGTTTGGTATCAGGAATTTTAGTTTTAAGTGCTTATGAATTAACTTTTTATTTATTTGCGGGTGAAAGAGATGAAAAAGTCGTACCGGCAGCGAAGCTCTTGTTGGTTCTGTTCATGATACTGATGTTCTTATGTCATCTTTAGTAATGTAGCTGAAGGAATTGGTGGAGGGGAGGTGGAGGCGCAGTAGAGGCAGACGTGGAGGAGTGGAGGGGGAGGAGGTTTTTACTATCATCCCAGAAGCAAAAACAATGAACTCCGTCTTCCTCTGAAAAGACATGGCTTAGTTTGATTACCATTGCATTTGTATTTTCATCCAGGAGATTTAATTTAATGTTTAAATTCAAATTAATTATTACAGATGAAGCTGAGCCCTTCTGGAATTTATTTTTGGATGATATATAATGTACTCAATTTTTAAGTTTTTGTATCAAAAGTTAACCCTTTTTCTTCACTTTCTATCCGCAATGGACGAAGTTAAGTCAAAACACATGATAATCATTAATCAACATATTATTAATTATTTTTTTTCTCTTTTTTCTATTACAGTATATCTTGGCTGTGTTTGATTTGGAATTTTTCTTCTATAGTTGTTGCTGAGAAAATTATTGGAAAAGATGAGCAAAGAGGGATACGTTTTCTTTTTCTTTTCATCTTTTCCTGTTTTCATGACGAGAGAGCCGTTCAAGAATCGAATAGAAAAAATATTAATGGTAAATTTTTAATCCCACGATGGATAAAAATATGGGGCTAAATGATTTTTTTAAAACTGGCAGGGCTTGATTAATATTCAACAAATATACGACATGTCGTTTCAAAGGAAATGAAAAAGACACGTCGTTTAATTAGAATAAAATGACATGTCGTTTTTACACATTTGGACGACATGTCGTTGCCTTTTACTTAAACGACATGTCGTTTCATAAGAAATGAAAACGACACGTCGTTTAATGGAAAATAAAACGACATGTCGTTCCTTTTTACTAAACTACATGTCGTTTCAATCGAAATGAAAACGACACATCGTTTAATTGGATAAAAAACGACATGTCGTTTGTTACACATAAACGACATGTCATTTTTAATTATTTGGACGACATGTCGTTGCTTTATGGTGAATATAAAATATAATTCCATATACTCTGTCAAATATCATAAAACCACCTACTTTGTAAATCTTTTGACCTAAATGACATTTCCCTAGGGCTAGGAATGACGTTAGTTTCGTGGACAGGACCCCTAGTTAGTAAAAACGCGTATACGCGAATTATGCGGCAGTCGTATAATTTACGTAAAAATGGGCGTATATATTTTTGTAAAATCTATTGTATAATTCGCGTATAATAAGGTTTCTGTATAATTCGCGAATTTTTGAGGAAAAAAAAAAAAAAAAAAAAAAAAAAAAAGCAAAATCTCACACCCCCAAAACGACGTCGTTTTGGTGGGTTTTTACAAAAAATTAAAACAAATCTCGTTCAGTCGTTCCTCTTCAATTCTTCGGCAGTCAGCAGTTCTTCTTCCTAGCTCAAGCTCAGTGCTGGTGGGAGAATCCGATTGAAGAGCTTATTCAGATGAGGAAGGCTTCTCAGGCTCAGTGCTGGTGGGAGACTGATTGAAGACCTTAGTTTGCCACAGCTTGAGCAGTTAAAAGCGGCGCTAGAGGAGCTGAAGAAGAATGCGGCAAAGCAAGCTGAGAAGATATGATCCAGAATTCCATATAACCAAAGATTTAACGAAATTATCACCTCCCCATTATTCCACACAAAATAATAACTCAAGTTGAAGCCTAGAGCACCAAACTGAAATCTACAGCACCAAAACACCACAGAAACTCAAACCTCCAACAGCAAAATTTTACGATTCTTCCAAACAAAGAAAGATTTTCCATATAACCAAGATTTAACGAAATAAATATCACCTCTTATACCTTTGGGGTGTCAGTGACTAAAACTGAAACCTTAAGGGATAATAAAAAATTTAAAACTTCAATCGAATTTAAGTTTAAGTTTTCATATTCCAGATTTAGGTATATATTTTAGAGAAATTACTTAATCGACCATGCACTAAAAACCGAATAATAATGTAGCACCATAGGCATTATTATTTTATTATAATATACGAATATTAAGTAGGTGATTAATCTTAAGATGGTCAAACTCCAAACTAGCAGTAGCAGGCAAACAAAACAACGGAGGCGGAGAAGATGAAGAGATTGGGCTTTCATTAAAAGGTGTGCTTTCTCTCAATTTCTTTCTTTCTTTCTTCCCGCCAAAAACGAACAATTGTCTTAAACCTTTATAAACAAATTTAATCAAATTATAAACCACGCTTCGAATCCCTAAACGAGATTGTCGCGGTTTTTTTTTTTTCTTTTTATTTCTCCGGACATGGCTTTAGATTCTGGCTCCAGTCACTTCACGGATTTGAACAGGTGATAGCTTTTACAGTGACTAAGAAACCCCAATTTTGATTTGCGGCAATTGATTTAGTATTCATAATTTTGGATTCGTTTTCTATAATCTTATTAAATTGATCTTTCTTTTTTGGAAAATTTTTGGTTTTTTGAATTTCTTACCTGATTATACTGTTTGTTTGCTGGGAAATTGTGGGAAACGAGAAAAAGAGCTTAAAAGAATTATTTCATCATTTTTGCCCTTTTATTGAGAAACCTTTTTGTTGAAATCAATTGGCACTAACGTTAGAGTTTGAACAATTTAGTGTGTTAGCTTATTTTATAATTTTTTTTGTGTTGTATTACATTTGAACTGTTTTTGTTTCTGGTCTGTCTTGAGTGAAATTGTAACAAGTTTTAGTAAAATACTTTTTATGTATTGCTAGTCGAACAACACCTAAAACTAAAGGTGAAATGTTTTCCTGATTTTTTGTTTTTCTTTTGCATTCAAACAGTTCAGATACTGATGATAACACTGAAGACCTAGGGAAAGCTATGGTTTTAAAAGCATTCCCACTCGGAGTAGTACAAGTGGCCAATAATGCCAATGGAGTTGATGAAAATGAGTTGGGAAATGAACCGTATGTGGGGTTAGAATTTGATTCAGCAGATGATGCACGTGAGTTTTACAGTCAATATGCCGCACGTGTAGGATTCAAAATTCGAATTGGTCAGTTGTATCGTTCTCGAACTGATGGGTCAGTTTCTTCTAGGAGATACGTTTGTGCGAAGGAGGGATTTCAGCTCAATTCAAGGACAGGTTGCCCGGCCTTCATTAGGGTACAGAAGCGTGATTCTGGGAAGTGGGTTCTTGACCAAGTCCAGAAGGATCACAATCATGATCTTGGATCTGCCGACGAAAATTGTTCACCTATTGTACAGCAGAGAAATCCTGCAGTTGTAAAATCATCAGTTAATACGTCACAAAGGTCCAAAATCATATCATTTGGGAAAGTTGATAAAGGACGCCCATGCTCATCTGGTGTCATTAGTGTCAAACGCCTTAGAAAGGGAGGAGATGAAGGGGAATGCATAGCCGAACCATACTCAGGTCTAGAGTTCAATTCAGCTAATGAAGCATACCTATTTTATCAAGCATATGCTAGATTTACTGGATTTAGAATTCGGATTGGTCAGTTGTTTCGCTCGAAGAATGATGGGTCAATTACATCCCGGCGATTTGTGTGCTCAAAGGAAGGGTTTCAACACCCTTCAAGAGTAGGGTGTGGAGCATTTATGAGGATAAAGAGACATGATTCTGGAAGTTGGATAGTGGACCGTCTTGAGAAAAATCATAATCATGATCTGGATGGTCGAATTGAGACCAGTAAGAAAATTTCTGCAACTTCACTGAAATTCATAGACGAGGTGAGTGATGGATTGGACTCTGTGGATCTAGCTGAAATAAACAACAGCATATTTGGGAAAGCAAGTCATGAAAACAACATTGGAAGTGATTGGTATTGTGTGCTATTTGAGTATTTTCAATCCAAACAAGCAGAAGATACAGGATTCTTTCATTCAGTAGAAGTTGTTGATGGTAGATGCATGAGTGTTTTCTGGGCAGATGGTAGGTCTAGATTTTCATGCAGTCAATTTGGTGATGCCATTTTTTTTGATACTTCATATAGGAAGAGTAATTACCTGGTACCATTTGCAACATTTGTTGGAGTTAACCACCACAAACAACCAGTGCTTTTGGGGAGTGCTTTAATAGCTAATGAATCGAAGGAGTCTTTCGGTTGGTTGTTTCAAACATGGCTTCGGGCAATGTCTGGATGTTGTCCAAAGTCAATTATAGCTGATCAAGACATGGCTATCCAACAGGCAATTGCCCAAGTTTTTCCTAGGACTCGCCATCGTTTTTCAATGTGGCAGATTAGGGTCAAGGAACGAGAGATTTTGAGGTCAATGCCTAATGAATTTATGAATGAGTATGAGAAGTGCATCTATCAGAGTCACACAAATATCGAATTCAATACCATGTGGACTGAACTTATAAACAAATATGGCTTGAAGGAGAATCTTTGGCTCAAACAAATGTATGAAAAGCGTGATAGTTGGGTTCCATTGTACTTACGTGGCACCTTCTTTGTTGGCATCCCAATAGGTGAAAACATTGAATCATTCTTTGGCACAACTTTAACTGGCCAGACACCACTAAGAGAGTTTATCTCACGATACAATCAAGGTCTTGAGAAACGGCGTGAGCAGGAAAGGAAAGAAGATTTCAACACACTTAATCTGCAGGCGATTCTACAAACGAAGGAACCAATGGAAGAGCAATGCAGAAGGCTTTATACCCTAGCTGTTTTCAGGATATTTCAGAACGAACTTCTGCAAAGCTATAGTTATTTTGGAATAAAGACTTATGAAGAAGGAAGCATTGTCAGATACTTGGTGCGGAAGTGTGGAAATGAGAATGAGAAGCATGTTGTAACCTTCAGTCCTCTAAATGTGAGTTGCAGTTGTCAGATGTTTGAATTTGAAGGCATGCTTTGCAGGCATATCTTAAAAGTGTTAAACCTGTTGGACATAAAGGAAATTCCATCTCAATATATCTTACATCGGTGGACAAGAAATGCTGTGTATGGTATTGTCAGTGATGTAGAATCAAGGGTTAGCTTTCAAGAACTCAGGGCCATAATGTTGTGGAGTTTAAGAGAAACAGCATGTAAATACATAGAATCTGGGACAGGATCTTTAGAAAAGTACAAACTTGCCTATGAGATAATGAGAGAAGGCGGGAACAAACTTTGTTGGCAAAGGTAAACACATCGGACCTGAGTTCAGTGAAATTTTTGTATTTTGCACTACCTGTTTGGCTTCTTTCTAGCTGAGTCTTAGTTATGTAACTAAAAATCATTGACTTGCTTTGGGTAAATAATTTTACAGTGTGTTTGGATCAAAACTCTAGCTATTTATGATCTGGATGGGCATCTCTTTGAATTATCTGGGCTGGAGATATTGTTATGCTGGATTAGATCATAATATTCATTAGGTGCTAAGTTTCTCTTGGTAGACAACGGAAAGGCCTCATACGCCCTCTCTAAATTTTTCAGTATACCACAAATCCTTCAAAGGTAAAGAAGAGCAAATTAACTTAAAACTGTTTTTTTCTATGAAATCACTCACCAATTGAGTTTCCAAGATCACCCTTCTTTCATAAGTCATAACCGCTTTGTCTTACGGTCGGCAAACTTAATCCCACCCCCACCTACACCGGCAAGGGCCGAATTGTCATATTCAACGGATAAAGGAGTTTAGCGTATAAAAAAATAGAAAGTTTAGAAAGCTGCACTTATGATGGGGATTAAAGTGTCAGGTCCAGTGGAGGGGGTGGCGAAAAGTAAAAAAGTGAATATTTAGGGGTAGAAATGATATGTTTCTATGTAATTTTTTTTTTATATATATAAAAATTCAGATTAATTGTAATTTATAATATTTTTTAAAACTGAGAACTTATAGTCATGGTAATGTAGATTAAATAAAATAATAATAATAAAATTAGACAGTGTTATTCTTAAACTAAGTTTTTACAAAACAACAACATGATTTAAATTCGAAGATCACCCACAACACATATAATAATACTAACTAAATATATCAATAACCTCTTTTTTTTAAAATCAAATTTTGATGTAAAAATGAAGAAAAAACATTTATTTAAGCAATATGTATAAAAGATATATTTAATAAAATGATTAAACCGAGTAGTATTGCCAACTCTACTCTCTTTAACAAATTAAGAAAAAACCTGTAAAGAAAATCAGATTTTGGGCATTAAAGATCCCACGATTAAAACATATTTACAATTTTAAAATTTTAAATAATGCAAGGGCTATTTTGGATGATATTATAATGAGATGTATAAAAGAAAAATGTTGGAATTTTACATTTTATTTGTTTCCGAAATCAAAGGATTTTGAAGCTTATTTATTTAAGTAGATGGTTTTTGAAAAATATGTTCCTTAATTATAATCTTCCTTCCCCATATGATTTTGCTTATTATTTCAAACCACAAACACCAAATTGGTGTGATTTTTAGTGTATTTTACTATTGCATCTCCAATTTATTGCACCAAATATTACACTAAAAAGAATATTTCTTAGAATATTCTCTTTCTTTTTCTTTCTATTAATAGTTAACAATTAATCTATTTCACTAATTATTTATATATATATTAATTAAATATTATAAATGATATTTTTATTAAATAATAATTACTTTAAAAATTATACTAATTTAATAAAATTAAATATTTATTTAATCAAATAAACATTACATTTAATATAGAAAAACATTACATATAATATAAAATGCTACCAAAAAAAAAAAAAAAAACATTACAACAAAGTCAAGGATATTAAAATAACTCTAGTTCTTTATAATATTGATTTTAGAGGATCCAGAATTAATCTACCGAAATACTAAATTATTATTTTAGTTTATATTATATTTTTTTTTAATTTTAGTATTTTTAAATTAGTGTTAATTTTTATTTTGAACTATTGTAGTTTAATATCTGCATTGAATAAAGTTTTGTTTTTAGTTTTTCATTACTTTTTGTATTATATAATTATTATGAATTTATTATTATAAATATTAATATAAATAATAATCACATTAACATAAATACAAATAACAAAAATAAAATATATTTTATAATATTTGAATAGTATCACACCAAATTGGTATTGTCATGCCAAATTTGGCGTGACGCTGTTTACTTACACCAATTTGGTATAATGTTTGACGTTAGGTTAGAACATATTTTCACACCATTTTAGTGTTTTAGCGTTGGGTTAGAGATGTCCTTTATTGGTATAAAAATTTGGTGATTCTATCTTTTTGTCCTTTCATGTTTTTCCTATAATTTGAAGAAAATAATATTCATAGGATTTCGGTTTTGTACTACTGAAAAAGCAAAACAACAGCGAGGGTGATTAATTAAAGACATTAAGATATCGATTTCACAAAAAATAAAAAATAATAATTGATAATTAAAGACAGATTTTTCAGGTAAAATTGTCATAAATAGAAGTTGACTCGGCTTTCCAAATCTTTTCCTTAAGCTAAAGAACCGGAATAATTATTCCTCCTGCTCCTGGATACATCAGTTTTCTCCCATTTTTTTCAATTAATTAAAAAAATCTATTTTAGTTTTTGACATTCATATCAAGTACTAATTTTACTACATATTGTTTGGTATCAGGAATTTTAGTTTTAAGTGATCTTATGAATTAACTTTTTATTTAATTTGCGGTTGAAAGAGATGAAAAAGTCGTACCCGGCAGCGAAGCTCTTGTTGGTTCTGTTCATGATACTGATTGTTCTTATGTCATCTTTAGTAATAGTAGCTGAAGGAATTGGTGGAGGTGGAGGTGGAGGCAGCAGTAGAGGCAGACGTGGAGGAGGAGGTTTTTACTATCATCCCAGAAGCAAAAACAATGAATCTCCCTCTTCCTCTAAAAAGACATGGCTTAGTTTGATTACCATTGCATTTGTATTTTTCATCCAGGAGATGTAATTTCAATGTTTAAATTCAAATTAATTACTTGCAGATGAAGCTGAGCCCTTCTGGAATTTATTTTTGGATGATATATAATGTACTCAATTTTTAAGTTTTTGTATCAAAACGTTAACCCTTTTTCTTCACTTTCTATCCGCAATGGACGAAGTTAAGTCAACAACACATGATAATCATTAATCAACATATTATTTAATATATTTTTTTTTCTCTTTTTTCTATTTACAGTATATCTTGGCTGTGTTTGATTTGGAATTTTTTCTTCTATAGTTGTTTGCTGAGAAAATTATTGGAAAAGATGAGCAAAGAGGGATACGTTTTCTTTTTCTTTTCATCTTTTTCCTGTTTTCATGACGAACGAGAGCCGTTCAAGAATCGAATAGAAAAAATTATTAATGGTAAATTTCATTTAAGTCCCACGATGGATAAAAATATGGGGCTAAATGATTTTTTTAAAACTGGCAGGGCTTGATTAATATTCAACAAATATACGACATGTCGTTTCAAAGGAAATGAAAACGACACGTCGTTTAATTGAAAATAAAACGACATGTCGTTTTTAACACATTTGGACGACATGTCGTTTCACAAGAAACGAAAACGACACGTCGTTTAATTGGAAAATAAAACGACATGTCGTTTCAAATTTGGACGACATGTCGTTTCAAATTTGGACGACATGTCGTTTCTTTTTACTTAAATGACATGTCGTTTCAATAGAATGAAAACGACACGTCGTTTAATTGGAGAAAAAACGACATGTCGTTTGTTTATACATAAACGACATGTCATTTTTAATTATTTGGACGACATGTCGTTGCATTTTATGGTGAATATTAATAATTATATTCCATATACTCTGTCAAATATCATAAAACCACCTACTTTGATAAATCTTTTGACCTAAATGACATTTACCCGCTAGGGCTAGGAATGACGTTAGTTTACGTGGACAAGGACGTGTAGTTTTCTTTAAAAATAAATCAATTCTATAATTTCTGTATCCTTCTTGTAAATTTTTAATTGATTATTTTTTAAAATAATTATCCTTCCAAATTTATTCCAATTTCAAATCTGGTATAAACTTTCTAATTATAAAACTTATTTATCTTCTTCCACTTTATCACAGCACAATTATATATATATATTTGAAATTNAAAAAAAAAATGAAAAAAGAAATATCAAACCCGGTCCTATGAAACCCATAATCACGAAAATATTTTCCGGTTATGAAAGGAGAGTAACTGTTTGGGGTTTTATAAAAGAGGATAGAAGAAGGGGATTTGGAGGATAGAACAAAGCTCGATTGTGTTTTTGTGGTGTTGATTTGAATAAAATGGTGTCAATTTGTGATATGTCTTTTATATTTTGTGTTTTAGAATCATAAAGATTAGGGAGGATATTAGGTGTTTTTAAGGGTTATAGGGTGAACAAGGGGGACGAGGCTAAGAACTTTGAATATTAAATTTTGATTTAGGGAGAATATTAAATTTTATGCATAATGTTAATGGATCATTTTGCCCTTACTTGTAACGGAGTTTTGATCATTCAACTCTTCTTTATAACAAAATTTTATTTGTTTAGAGCTCTTATTCGACTTTGAATTTTGATTTTATTATGACTTATGTGTTTAATTTGACACTATAGTTGAATCTTGACTAAATATTGTGTTTGAGTCTGGAGACTATAATTTGGATATCAGTTATATATTGTGTATTTGTGTTATTGATTAATTGAATATTTTGCTTTTAACTAAGTAGTCCATAAAAGTGTTAAAACTAAGATTGATATTACCGTATTTTTCAAAACGTATTATTGACAATATACCGTATTAAACCCGTATATACTCGTACCGTATTTTTCCCTTATCCGAATTTTATGGCCGAATTTTTATAAACGTATTTTTCACCATTTGCCGTATTATATCCATATAATTCTCGTACCATTTTTTTGCCGTACCCGTATTTACTAACTAGGCAAGGACCTGTAGTTTTCTTAAAAAATAAATCAATTCTATATCCTTCTTGTAAATTTTTAATTTATTATTTTTTAAAATAATTATCCTTCCAAATTTATTCCAGTTTCAAATCTAGTATAAACTTTCTAATTATAAAACTTATTTATCTTCTTCCACTTTATCACAGCACAATTATATATATATATTTGAAATTATAAATAAACTATTTCAATGATTTTATATATATTTTTATTATTATAAATTTATAATATTTTATTTAAATAAAATAATTTATTTGTTTTTTAATTTTATTTTCACAATTTGACAATGGATATTTTACAATTATTTTAAACATGTTAAATATATAAATATATAGTAATTGATAAAGACATATGC